AAGTCATTTTCGAATCCATATATGATATGGTTTAATGCATTTCCTAATTGCTAGAACTAATTAGTCTTATTTAAAGCGTATAGCCGTGTGGCTATACTCTTTAAATATAATCGAATATTTTAGAAGTATAGTCGCACGGCTATACTTTTCAAATATAATATTTAAAGAGTACAACCGGGCAGCTATACTATTTAAAAGTAGAACCGGGTGGCTATACTTTAAAATATAAATAGCCGCGCGGCTATACCACCCAAAATGGTTTTCTTCTTTGTCATTATATAATATCTTAGCATTTTTAATTACTTTAATTAGTAATTATGTTTAAATTCGAATTTCTTTAGTGAATAATTAGTGTTTAAGTATTTTACTAATTTCATAAATTACTTAATATATAATAATTAATTATTTTGTGCACTTTATTTTTTATTTTTTCATACAAAATACTAGCCCCTTGGCACATGCTCACGCATGTGCCAATTGGTTTTATTTTTTATTTTTTATTTTATTTTTAGAATTAGGAAAAGATAACATGGGTAGTTATATTCCATAAAAGTATGACCTATTATCTAATTTTGTTTTTAATTTAATTTTGTTTAAATATAATTTTTTTTTTGAATTTACCATATTGTCCTCATTTAATTAATAATTTCTAATTTCAATTCTTAATGTTTGAATTAACCAATGACATTTTCTGGTATTTTGAATATTTCACCATACTCTGACTTTTGCTTTATATATATAGATTTGTAATTAAGTACTATCTTAATTATTATTTATTTAATGAACCACTTTTTCTGACTGCCACATTTTCTTGGAAATGGACCTTACATTTTATTTATTTTGCTCTATCCATGGATAACACACAGAGATGAGGAAATGGCTCATTTCGTTGCGGGAGTGAAGCGGAATTACATATTTGGTGGAATTTGTAGCGTTGCAGCAAATGCATCCACCAAGGTTGTACCTTCTATAGAATTTTTTGTTAGATCATTCATGAAATTCCATCTGCTGGTGTTGCAAATTGTAGTTTTAGAGATATACTTTAGCGAATCTAGCATCAGGAAAAGCAGGGTAGTCATTCGTCCACGACATCGAATGTCCTTCTCAAGGTTTAACGCTCAGCCTTCTCATTCGACACTCCCTTTTGGACACTATTATATGTATGAGTGGGAAAGACATGGAGTAGCACAAAAAGAGGGATTAGCATTATTGACCCAATGATAAACCACTAACACCTTCCTCGTTGGGGCTCCGCGCACAGGGAAAACGCTCTAGCGACGGGAAACCGGCCACTAGTTATAAAGCTCCAATAAGGTATTGAGAGGGCTATCACAGTCAGGTGCTATATACTATATATACATGTACATTTCCTATATTCCTTTGGGATCAAATTTTTTTTCTTATTCTGTTGATTGCTGAATGCTTATGAGAGATAATGCAATCTTAACAGACTTTTGCTGATATGAAATCCATCAACTTTTTTGGGGTTCAGCAAATATGTCGGAATTCAATTGCCCTGGAACATGTAAGTCATTTTCTAATCCATATATGATATGGTTTAATGCCTTTCTTAATTGCTATAACTAATTAGTCTATACTCTTTAAATATATTCCGACTACACTTTTAAAATATAATATTTAATTTAAAAGTAGAAGGTATAGTTGCGCGGCTGTACGCTTTTAATATATTCGAATACTCTGACAGAATGGTTTTCTTCTTTGTAATTATATAATATCTTAGCCATCTTTAATTACTTTAATTAGTAATTATGTTTTAATTATCATTTATTTAGTGAATAATTAGTATTTACTAATTTCATAAATTACTTAATATATAGTAATTAATTATTTTAAATTATTTTGTGCACTTTATTTTTTATTTTTTATACAAAATTATTATTTTTAGTTTAATATTTGCAATTAAGTAATATCTTATGATTTAGTTATATTAAATTATTCTTTATTTAATGAACCACTTTTTCTAAGTGCCACATTTTCCTCCAAACTCTAACCATCATTTAGGCTTGGATACTCATGTAACTCGAGTTAGGGTTTTATGATTAGAGTTTGGATCTCAATATCGGTTAGTATAACATAGGGTTATAAAATATATTAATATTTAAAAGGCTTAAGTGCTATAGTGCCCCTTGAAATATTGGTTAATTCCTATTAAACCCTTTAAAGTTAAAGTGATCCACTTTATCCCCTTGACCGATGTTTTGTGTCTTACTTTGCCCCTCATCGTCAAGTTTGTTAAAAATTATGTTAAAAATGCTGATGTAGCACCAATTTAAGTGGCATGTGTGAAGAAAAAAAATTAGAAATTAGAAATTGTCTTTTAAAAAACATAATTTAACTATTAAAAATAAAAATAATACTTTAAAACCAAAAAATCCCCAATTTCCCTCCTCCAACCCCATTATCCCTTCTCAGTCGCCATCACCACAACCACAACCACCCCCGACTCAAACCCGCCTCTCTCTTATCTTCCCACCGCAGACTTTCTCTCATCTTATCCCTCTTTTCCCATTTCCCTTTTTTAACGAAAAAAACCATTTCTCTTTCCAACGGTGCTTCCCTCCTCCGCAACGTTGCCACCGCCATCATCCATCCTCTGTGCCCCCCTCCCCTCCTCCATTGTTGTCAGCATTTTTTCTATCTCACTCTCGTGTCTCCCTCTCTCTCCTCATGAGTCAAGCTAACAACAATGGAGGCGGCAACCATGCCAGCCTCCATATTCAAGCTGGCTGACATCAGATCTGGAGATCAGCCTCCAATATTGCTGATGGGAAGAGAGAGAGAGAAAGATAAAGTGAGGGAGAGAAGAGAAAGAAATTGAGACAGTGAGATTAGAAAAAGAGAGGGGATTTGAGTTGCAGCTTGACAGGACCCGACCCAAATTCCAATTTGGAATCCGTATCGAACCCTATGTGAGTCCAACACCTGGCAAGTGTCAAGACGAATGACTAAATTGCCCTTTTTGCCCTAATTCAAAAACTGCTTTAGGGTTTGATTTCTACTAAAAAACCGTCAGAGTCTTTCTTGAAAAACAAACATTTACCAAATTATTTGCACCTGTAGAAAACAAAATTCTATAATCCCAATAGTTCAGCATACAAGAATTTCGTCCATGTGCAATTCAACAATGATTCAAATGGAACTCAGGCTCGTACAACATAATCAAAACACTGACATTCACCTTGTTGTAAACGGAATTAACGGTAATCCAAAATTTGCTTAATTACAACGGGTTTCGAACTAAACTAATTCAAAGCACAATTCAACAGTTTATTTTGCGGCTGCACCTAGATAACTCTAGGTTGCCTACGTATCCTTACTAAGGGATCAAGCCACACGTAGTTCTTTATATATATAAATAATAATAAAAAAATTCAACCCATAAGTAAGCACAAGAATAAATATCACTTAATAAAATAATTGTGAATTGTATAATATCTTTCGAGCTTAGAAAACTCTCAATTCTTATCTCATAACTCTGAAAACATGTATTGTATTAAAACTTTCACCAATAAGTATCAAGATAAAATCATTAATTTTAGCTTAAACATCTTAAAACCCAAATTCTCTCCACCTAGGCATACCCTTATTCATAATCAGTCAATTCCACTAATATTTTGTCATTTCCAATAATATTCCGTCAATTCCAATAATATTTAATTAATTCCAGTAATATTTCGTCAATTCCAATAATATTCCGTCAATTTCAATAATATTCCGTTAATTCCAAGTACCATGTATGTTACAACCTATATGTAAAAATCCGTTTGACCGTCAAACGATAACCAAATTTGAATTCGAGCATACCCGTAGTGCTCGGGACGACATGGAGATCATTTTCGGACCAAATAGGCCACCCAAACTTGGCCCACGTGCCACCACACGTGTGGGTGGCTTGAGTAAATTTCCGATGACGGAAATTTCTCAACTCATCCATCAATTCTTATATCCGCGTGATCAGGACAAATAGGGAAGCAATTTATACAACTGAGTCGACCTCCAATTTGGCCAAGAAGTGGCCGGAAACTCGATCCAAAAATTGAAAATTTTCTAGGTTTTAGATTGAGTTTCAAAACTCCAAAATGGTCTAATCCAAACACACAAACAGCTAGAGTATGTGGAGAATATTGAAATCCACACATGGTTCGTCAAAAACAGTGGCCAGAATCGCCCAGAACGACTGCGAAAAACCGAAGCAGTCATTGCCTGCCAAATCCTTGCTCCCAGCACCTCCTTGAGTTGAGGTCGTGGCTGAGCTTCCGTCCGGTCATGATCGCCGGCCCCTCACGGTCACATCCCAATCGGTCTCAACCGCAGGGTGGTCAGACGGTGAAGTTAGGTGGCCACACAGTGGCCGGGTCTGTGCGCGTCGCGAGAGGGAGGGTCGGGGAAGAGAGAGAGAGAGAGAGAGAGAGAGAGGTGGAGAGAGAAACTGAGTTATCCCCTTTAAAATTATAACTTTGAAATATTTACGGTTGTGCCACTACACTTTCTTTGATCGTAACCTCTTCGTTAAAATTCCGATTCGAGTCCACTACGTATCTACGAACTCATATCGCTGCGCTCTACCCGACGATACCACTCAAATCCCCAAATTCTTTCATGAACAAAAAGTCAACTTTAAACCCATTAAAATATTATCGGGGTAAAATTGTCTTTGACTTGAATATTTTAATAATTAACTATTAATTTAGGATCGTGTTATCATACAGCCTGCAACTTGCAGGAGAAGAGAGGGATATATGAGAGAGAGTTAATGGTGGGAAGAGAAGCAAGCGGCGGGTTTGAGTTGGGGGATGCACTAAATGGAACAGAGGTGAAATTTTTTTTTAATTAAGTGTGAAATTGATCACCAACTGTTAGGATTTAATTGGATGGGGATACTGACGTGGAAAGCTTACCTGGCATCCCCGTGCCAGGCAAGTTTTTCTCCTATAGGAGAGGAGGAGAGAGGAGGGTTTGAGTCGAGTGTGGTTGTGGTTGTGGTTGTGGTTGTGGTGATGTCGACTGGGAATGGATAATGGGGTTGGAGGAGGGGAATTGGGGATTTTTTGGTTTTAAAGTATTATTTGTATTTTAATAGTTAAATTAGGTTTTTTAAAAGATAATTTTTATTTATTATTTATTTTTCCTTCATACATGGCAGTTAGTTTAGGAAAATAATGGGTCCCATTAGTGCCACGTCAACATTTTTAACATAATTTTTAATAGACTTGGCAGTGAGGAGCAAAGTGAGATACAAAACATCGATCAAGGAAGTAAAGTGGGTCACTTTAACTGTAACATCCCACATCGACCATCGGAGAGGGGGTGATGTGCCTTACATGTACATGCCCTCTTCCATCTAGCACGAGGCCTTTTGGGAACTCACTGGCTTCAGAGTCATGGAAACTCCGAAGTTAAGCTAATTAAAGCTAGAGCAATCCTGGGATGGGTGACCCACTGGGAAGTTGCTCGTGAGTTCACAGAAACAAAATCGTGAGGGCAGAGAAAGAGGCCCAAAACAGACAATATCGTGCTACGATCGAGCCGATCCAGGGATGCGACATTAACTTTAAAGGGGTTTAGTGAGAATTGATCAATGTTTCAAGGGCACTATAAAACTTAAGCCTATTTAAAAAGTACAGCCGCGCGATTATACTCTTTAAATATATTCAAATATTTTAAATAAACCCAATCCTAGACATGTATTTATAAAAAAATTCAAACACTATTTAAACATAGAAACACACCTAAAATCAACCCCAAAATCAACAATTGTATATTTTTCGGGTGTGTTTATAAATGAGTTTTGAGTGTGTGTAATGATGAGTTTTGGGTGTGTTTATAAAGTGTTTTGGATGTTGAGTTTTTTTTATAATTTCAGCCTCCATTTTGGGTGTTTTAGTGAAACTTCCTTAAATATATTCAAATATTTTAAACGTATAGCTGCCCGGTTATACTGCACGAAATAGTTAATTTAGAGTAGTTATCGCTTCTATTATAAAATAAACTAACGAACAATTTTACATCTTTTTCCTTTTGGGTTTATAGTTTGCTGAAACCAAATAAAAAAAGAAAAGAAATAAAAATCGGAAGTGCAATTATAAGAGGATAAGGAACGAAGGACAAAGTGGTCATTTTGCATGCCCTCGCTTCCGAACTCACTCACTGGTATCCCTTGTTTTTCAACTCTCAAATTTCGCAAAGCCATGGCTTCTTCAATCTCTCTCTCATTCTCTTCTTCTCTGCTTCCTCATCCTCTCCCTCTCAACAAGAACTCCACAGCCATCCACAGAGCCCATGACTCAAACTTTAAGCTAGTACACTGCGCATTCGCAGCACCCGCTACACGCACTCGTTCAACTTCATCTTCGTCTTCTGAGACCAGAAAGAGGCACTGGAAGCAAGGTGAGTTTCCAGGGGTCTCAGAGACATCGATTCCTGGGACTCACAGAAGGGCCCCCTTAAAAAATGTGAAGAAGAAGTTGGACCGCAAGAACAACGCCAAGGCCTGGGCCAACACCGTCACTGAAGCCTTGTCTGACGCCATAGACAAGAAGCAATGGCTTCAAGCTCTTGAGGTTGGCCCTTCTCTATGTTTCTCTTTCTGGGTTCATTTTATTTTGAGCATTAGGTCCTTGCCTCAAACAAAAATGGAGAAAGTTTTCATTTGTTTTCCCTTTTGGGTTTACAGTTTGGTGAAAGTAAATTGCTGAAAAATAAATAAAAAATGCTACTCTCTTTGCTTACCCAGTTGAGTTCCTTTTTTCATATCTGAATGTTTGACTTTAAGGAAACTAGAATTAGGACTGTTATCATACAGACTTACAGTATCATAGCCATGTTTACTACCCAACAGTTAGGTGTTCTTGTTTTAAAATGATGATAAAATTGGCTAGTATTGACCGTTCAGGTATTTGACATGCTAAGAGAACAACCTTTTTATCAACCAAAAGAAGGGACTTACATGAAACTCCTTGGTCTGCTTGGAAGATGTGGCCAACCCCATCGTGCCCGTCAGCTTTTCGACGCAATGGTTGAAGAAGGCTGTGAACCAACTCTTGAACTCTACACAGCCCTACTTACAGCTTATTGTCGGAACAATCTAATTGATGAGGCATTTTCTGTTCTCAACCAGATGAAGACCCTCCCGCATTGCCAGCCTGACGTTTTTACATACAGTACCTTAATAAAGGTTTGCATTGATGCTTTGAAATTCGAATTAGTTGAGTCCTTGTATGAGGAAATGGCTGAACGGTTAATAACTCCAAACACAGTCACCCAAAACATAGTGTTGAGTGGATATGGTAAAGCTGGGAAGTATGATCAGATGGAAAAAGTGTTGTCAGGGATGCTGGAGGGTGCAACTTGCAAGCCTGATGTCTGGACAATGAATGTTATCCTTAGTGTGTTTGGCAACAAGGGTCAGATAGATATGATGGAGCGATGGTATGAGAAATTCCGTGATTTTGGGATTGAGCCAGAAACTCGCACTTTTAATATTCTGATTGGTGCTTATGGGAAAAAGAAATTGTATGATAAAATGTCAACTGTGATGGAGTACATGCGCAAGCTTCAATTCCCATGGACAACAGCAACATACAACAATGTGATTGAGGCTTTCGCGGATGTAGGAGATGCAAAAAACATGGAGTACACATTTGATCAGATGCGTGCTGAGGGTATGAAAGCAGACACCAAAACGTTCTGCTGCCTTATTAATGGATATGCCAATGCAGGTCTCTTCCATAAGGTGGTTAGCAGTGTTCAGTTGGCCGGAAAGTTTGAGATACCCGAGAATACCACATTTTATAATGCAGTAATAGCTGCATGTGCAAAGGCAGAGGATTTGATGGAGATGGAGAGAGTTTTTAAGCGGATGAAAGAGAAGCAATGTCCACCGGATTCCACAACATACTCTCTTATGGTTGAGGCGTATAGTAAGGAAGGTATGAACGATAAGATCTACTACTTGGAGCAGGAGATTGGTGTTGATGTTAACCAAAATGACAACTCCTCAGGAATTGAGTCTGATGCTGTTGTCTGATTGAGATATTTGAAAACAACAATATGTTTCAAGAATCCCCTAATCTCACATTGGGCATCCCCACAGTTCTTCTAATGCAGCAGTACTGGACTCTTATTGTTGAATTTCGAGTGATCAGGTAATCAAAATTTTCCATCCTGGGATGGATGTTAACAATGCTGCTTCCTCGCTTTATGTATTTTGTGGAGGACTGTAAGAATTGTTTTAGACATCTCTGATACTCTGGGTGAAATATTTTGGAAAATGACTGTATATACAGAGTTGATAAGTGCCTTTCAGCAAACTGGAGGTCATCTCAAAATAGCATGCAAATTGTACGGAGATTTGTAAGAGTGCTAACTGCCGACAGGAGAAGTACTTTTGTTTTTAATGCAATTTCATATATATTGTCTCCAGCAGAAGCTGGACAGTATAGAAGGTGGTCTATGGAACAGAATGGTCTATAAACACATCTTTTTTGTTGTTTGTTGGAAATTATTTTCTTTTTGCCGTGTTTTTCTTTTATGTACTGGGTTGCTGTTTTAATTACTGGTAGAATGCTCTTATAGATTCATGCTAAGACTGATGTTGGCACGTCCAGCAAACAATGAATTTGGTAAAGGCAATCTTTGATTACATGCTCAGACAACCGATAGTCATAAACATAAATATTAAAGCAAGCTCAAGTTCAGAAAGACGTTATATCATAAAACCACCCGCAAGATGGAGCAACAGTGGCAGTGGCGCCTCAAACAATCCTCCCTGTTCGAAAACAGTTGATACCGGTAACTTTTATTGAGTTATCATGGAAATGGAAGGATCCACTTTTCCGTGGTGTGTCCTACACTTTTATTAGAATTAGAATTTGACGTATGCCGGTTAACCAAACATTTTTCCACTCAAGAACATGTTTGAGTTGAGAGTGGCTTGCACGAGATGTTGGTATGTCAAATGAGATGAGATGACCACACGACATTTTAAGGCACAGGCAAAAAGGGCTAAGTAGGAGAGAAGACTTCTATCCTCACACGCTAACTTAGTAAATGTTGGCCTTTCATGGTGGCAGGCACAATGCCATTCCGGTATTCTCTTCTGTACATTAAACAAACAATAACCTAAAACCTGCGACACAAAGTCAGATAGGTAACGTCGTAATGTGATAACTGATAATCATACCAGAGACTTTGATGTCATTACCCACCTGGGACCCACTTGGCTTTTCCATTTTTCTCCTTCCAAATCCCAGTCCCAGAACTGAGGAAGAGCTGCTTGCATTCTTATTGCCTTCATGGTTAAGGTAAAAAAGAATATTTTCCGCTGAAAAGATATGCTATCTTAAACTGGTGGAAGAAAGTCAAAGGAATATTTTATTATATATAGAGCATAACTTAACAGAATGAGCCATGCCGCTTTGGTTTTGGTTTTGGTTTTGGTTCGGTGTTCAAGTATTGTTTATTGTTTTAACTATTGTTAATTGATTCTGTTCACTTTCATTGCCGAAGATAAAGTCTTTGCAGTGATAAACAATTGGGTTCAAATCCAGTTGCCATTTCCTTGCCACAGCAAAACATGACGCATTGCATTACTTCATTGACTATCATGTTCAGGCTTTTCATGATACTTATATGATCTGTCTGGGTTCATCCATTTGTTCTATCTAAAAATGGCTCAGTTGGCAGGGGCAGATGAAATAGAGTCTTTCCGTATAGAGCTGGCAGAGATTGGGAGGAGTATAAGATCCTCATTTCGAAGTCATGCCTCAAGTTTTCGGAGCGCCACCACTGTCAATGCTGGAGACAATGATGTTGGTGGTGATGAAGAACATGACTTACAATGGGCCGCAGTTGAGAGACTGCCCACTTTTGAGAGGATAACTTGGGCTCTGTTTGATGAATATGATGGCACGTCTACAAAAGGAGACGGTAAAGGGATACGGGTGGTTGATGTTACCAAGCTTGGAGCTCAAGAAAGACGTGTTTTCATTGAGAAGCTTATCAAACACATTGAAAATGACAATCTTCAATTGTTGCAGAAGATTAGACGAAGAATAGACAAGTAATGTTTTTTCTTCTTCTTTTCGGGTTTATGAAGATATCTACTTTTGAGCACAAATCACACTAATTTTACTAGAAACATGGAAAATAACGGATAAAACAGGAAACTAAATTAAATATGGCTAATTTATTATTGTGCATAAAGTGGGCTGCTGTAAAATATTAACATTCGTTTTGCACATCTCTTGTAGAGTCGGTGTAAAGTTGCCTACTGTGGAAGTGAGATATAAGAATCTTTGTGTGGAAGCAGAGTGCAAGGTAGTTCATGGCAAGCCCCTACCCACTCTATGGAATACTCTAAAGAGTTTGGTTTTGGTAAGCATCTTAATTCATAATGTCCAACTTGTTTTTTGGCTATGCATGGGCGACTTTGAATCTAAATTCTCAATTTCTAAATTAGTCACTTGAGCTCTCTTTATGACAGGGCATCACAGAACTGACTGGTTCAAAAACGCGTGAAGCCAAGATAAGCATCATCAAAGATGTCAGTGGTATTATTAAGCCGGGAAGGTTAGTTTCTTTTACCTTGGTTTCTAACTTAAAAAGTTGTGGCTGCTATAGAATTTAATGAATTCCATCTGTTGTATCAAACATGAGTGTTTCTCTGTCCTTATGGAGTTTAGCAGATGTCTTTGACGAAAATGGGTTCTTTACCTTCTAAAATTTTGAAAATGGGAAAGTAATGAGCAGACATAATTTTTTTTCTTTCTTTCAAATTCTTCAGAAATTTTGATATATTTTTAGAACACTTTAAGAAGGATATTAGAAAATTAATAAGTAACCAACTTAGAGTTAACCAACTTTGGCCTCTCTTCATTGCAGGATGACTTTATTGCTTGGCCCTCCAGGTTGTGGAAAAACCACATTACTGATGGCACTCTCAGGGAAGCTAAGCCATTCTCTCAAGGTGTGTAAAAAGTAAATAATTGTTTTTCCAACTGATGTTAAGGCCCACCTGTGAGGGGGAGTGTCTTAAGCTTTGGTTAATAGTGGTAAACCAAAAGGCTTCATCAATATCCAACGGGTCTGCTTCTAATTCTTTTAGTATTTATTTTATTCTAATAGGTTTCCGGCGAAATATGTTACAATGGTTATAGACTAGAAGAATTTGTTCCTCAGAAAACCTCAGCTTATGTAAGCCAATATGATGTGCATATTCCAGAGATCACTGCAAGGGAAACAATTGATTTCTCTGCATGTTGTCAAGGTGTAGGAAGTCGAACCGGTATGCATTCTTGCCTGCAATAATTAGCCAGTTTGAAACTGTTAACAACTCGTTTATCATATTGGTATTATCATTATGTTTTTTGTGCATATAGAGATTATGGTGGAAGTCAGTAGAAGGGAAAAGCAGGCAGGAATAGTTCCAGATCCTGATGTAGATGCTTACATGAAGGTACCTAAGATGCCTTGTTCGCAGTGTTCTGCAGAATTTCATTGGTCTAACTGTGATTGAAAATTGTCTGTTGCAGGCCACATCTGTTAAGGGACTAAAAAATACACTTCAAACTGACTATATTCTTAAGGTATTCTAATTCCCTACGAAGTGTGTTTTCAATCAGCTTGTTTTAAGTTGCCTTCTTGTTCACCATCCAATGTCTTACAGATACTTGGTCTGGAAATATGTGCTGACACGTTGGTAGGAGATCCCATAAGAAGAGGAATATCCGGTGGTCAAAAGAAACGGTTGACTACAGGTAGTGTTGGCATAACAGTAAAATTGCATGCATTTCAGTTTCCCGAGTCAAATCAGATATGATGCTCCATAATTTCTGTATTATGCAGGGGAAATGATTGTTGGACCTGCAAAAGCTCTGTTCATGGATGAAATATCTAATGGCTTAGATAGTTCTACCACTTTCCAACTTGTGTCTTGTCTTCAGCATTTTGTGCATATCACAGATGCAACTGCATTGATTTCGCTTCTTCAGCCTGCACCAGAGACATTTGATCTCTTTGATGATGTCCTCTTAATGGCAGAAGGGAAGATTGTGTTTCACGGGCCAAGAACAGAAATTCTGAATTTTTTTGAGGAGTGTGGGTTTAAGTGCCCAGAAAGGAAAGGTGTTGCCGACTTCCTTCAGGAGGTAGGTGTTATTGTCATACTCATATCTCAATCGATGTCCTATTATCTTTAGTGTTGAACGTTTTCTTATCTTGATTTGCTTCAGGTTATCTCTAGAAAAGATCAAGCACAGTATTGGGACTGTGCAGAACAACCTTACAGTTACATTTCTGTTGATCAGTTCATTAAAAAATTTGAGGATGGACATCTTGGCTGGCAGCTAAATGAGGAGCTCTCAAAGCCATTTGATAAGTCTCAGAGCCACAAGGATGCTCTATCCTTTAGAACATACTCATTACCTAAATGGGAACTGTTTAAATCTTGCACAAGGAGGGAATTTCTTCTGATGAAAAGGAATTCTTTTATTTATGTTTTCAAATCAATTCAGGTAGTTTCCTTATTTCTTTTCCCCCTTATTTTAAGTGTTTTCAGTTTATAACATTTTTTATATCTGGTCATAACTGTATTCTTTCTGTCCGCAGCTAGTCATAATTGCTTCAATAACGATGACAGTTTTCCTCCGAACTCAAATGGCTATTGACATGGTCCACGCAAATTATTATATGGGTTCTTTATTCTATGCACTCCTCATACTTCTTGTTGATGGCTTCCCAGAATTGTCAATGACTGTCTCAAGAATTGGGGTTTTCTACAAACAGAAAGAGTTGTGTTTTTATCCTGCTTGGGCTTACGCAATCCCAGCTGCCATCCTAAAGGTTCCACTTTCATTCTTGGAGGCTTTTGTTTGGACAGTTCTTACATACTATGTTATTGGTTACAGCCCTGAGGTTGGAAGGTGAGTCACAGATTGAAAATTCAGTTTTTAGCTAGATGGTTAAGTGATAGACTATTACATGCTTGACTGTAAATAAGCTCTTCTATGCTGAAGAACATTCAGCTAGGTGGCTGTTACCATCTAAACTAAGACTTTATTGTATGAGATCTTGCATGAATTATGCTTCAGTGGTATCTATAGCTAATGCATGGCAGAATATGCATATTGGTAATCTGTGCTTCTGTCTCTTTTCTCGAAATAGTCTTGTTAGATATTTCGAATGTCACTGTAGTTCTTACATTTTTCTAATGTATTTGCCAGGTTCTTTCGCCAGTTCCTTCTACTCTTTGCTGTCCACTTAACATCAATATCCATGTTTCGGTTTATTGCTTCATTTTTCCAAACCGTGGGTGCTTCTATGACAGCTGGTAGTTCAGCAATATTGTCTGTTTTATTATTTGGTGGCTTTGTTATACCAAAATGTAAGATTTCCATAAGATTTTCCCATATTTATGTCAATGAATTTTGCTTCTCTAGTCATATTTAAATATGTTTTGTTGCAGCTTATATGCCAGCTTGGTTGAAGTGGGGATTTTGGGTTTCTCCTTTGACCTATGGGGAGATAGGAATGACAGTTAATGAATTCCAAGCACCCCGATGGGAACAGGTGATATAGAGCTATTGCTTCATTGCTCCTCATTGTACAATTACAAAGTGAAAATTTAGAATTCTGTTTCCTTACCATAGATTTGAGAGCTTTTCTTCCTTCTATTTCTTTCTTTGTGAGATTATACAGAGGGTGATTCTAATCATGTTCCTATTAGCAACCTGAAGGAGTTCTTCCTCATTCACTAATGACTTTGCTCTTTATTTATATTCACAGGTCTATGCAAACACAACTCTTGGGCGACAAGTACTGGAAAGCCGTGGATTAAATTTTGAAGGCTATTTTTATTGGATATCAGTTGGTGCATTATTGGGATTCACAGTACTATTCAATGTTGGTTTCACCTTGGCTTTGACACTCTTTAAGTGTAAGTTTGTGTTCTATCCATTACTTGGCCACTTTAAGCAACGACGTATTTTATAGTTTTGCTAACCCAGCTTTTGTTTTATGTTCAGCTCCGGGAAGGCCCCCTGCTCTAATTTCTTACGAAAAGTACTGTCAACTACAAGGAAAAAGAGACAGCAAAACTGATATAGCAACAGAGGGGAAATCCATTAGTGCACCTAAAACTTCTGCAGAACCCAAGAAGGGTGAGGGTGATTTTAGTTTTTCTCTTTTCACTTATTTAATTCTACAGTAGATTTGTGTTCTTTTTTGTTAACATAAATAACAGTTCTTCTTTTTCTTCTCTTGTTTTTCCAGGAAGAATGGTTTTGCCATTTGAGCCCCTAGCCGTAGCATTTCAGGATGTACAATACTATGTTGACACCCCTTTGGTAATCTTTGGTAACCTCTCTCTTTAGATTCTGAGTAGTTCTGAAATACAAGGAGTGAACTATGCCAGCTAATATGGTCAGTTCTTCTATCTTTATGATGTAGGAAATGAGAAAGCGGGGCTTCACAGAAAAAAGGCTCCAGCTTCTTTCTGATATTACAGGTTCTTTCAGGCCAGGTATACTAACAGCATTAATGGGTGTCAGTGGGGCTGGGAAAACAACTCTCATGGATGTTCTCTGTGGAAGGAAAACTGGTGGTACCATTGAAGGGGAAATAAGAATTGGTGGTTACCCAAAGGTGCAAGATACATTTGCTCGGATATCAGGTTATTGTGAGCAAAGTGACATACATTCTCTACATATAACTGTGCAAGAATCAGTAGTGTACTCTGCTTGGCTGCGGCTCCCTTCTCAGATTGATTCAAATACTAAAGCTGTATGGTATCTTTTCAAGAACGTGATTATTTCAATGGTTCTGGATTTGAACATCCAAATTAAATTGCACCATAAATTTTTCTTCCTTCCCCAGGAATTTGTAAATGAAGTCCTTGAAACTATTGAGCTTGATGGGATTAAAGACTGCTTAGTGGGCATGGCAGGGGTTAGCGGTTTATCAACTGAGCAGCGCAAACGACTGACCATAGCTGTGGAACTCGTTGCCAATCCATCTATCATGTTCATGGATGAACCAACTTCAGGTTTAGATGCACGGGCAGCTGCTATTGTTATGAGAGCGGTGAAAAATGTTTCTGCAACAGGAAGAACGGTTGTTTGTACCATCCACCAACCAAGTATTGACATTTTTGAGGCATTTGATGAGGTAAAGTGTTTGTCAGAACCTCAAATGGGATGATCTCAGAAGTTTCAATGTGACTTCTTCCCATTTCAACTCAGGAGTATTGTGCTTGACCAGCTTACATCCCTTAAAAAATTTACAAAGTAAAATGCTTAAATTAGTTCTATTCCTTTCTTATCCATATATATTATTGTTGACACTTCAAGGAACTTATATTTCCTTTTGACAACAATCATTCACATCTTACCATCACTGCAGTTGATTCTCATGAAAACTGGAGGACACATAATCTATTGTGGCCCACTAGGGAAGAACTCAAGCAGGGTCATTGAGTACTTTGAGGTAGGTAGTTGAACAACTGTTTTACTACATTAGTCATTTTTGTTGTCGTTGTTTTTCAAACGTACAACTTGTCCCTGGAAAACATACAATTACTTTGTCCTGATCCAATTTCCTTCATTTGGTTAGAGTATCCCCGGGTTGCCCTCAATGAAAGACAATTATAACCCAGCAACATGGATGCTAGAAGTCACTTCAAAATCTGCAGAAGCTGAGCTTGGTATAGATTTTTCACAAATTTATAAGGAATCTGCCTTGAATGAGTAAGCATAATACGATTCCCCTTACCTTTTCTTTATGAAATTGAAAGAAACTGGGTATTTTATCATCATTGCATACCCTATGGGTTTCTTTAGCCATGCTAGGGTTGAGTTTCATTCTTAAAATTGGCTACATTTTTTCATATACTTATATTGATTGTGTATACTTATATTATAGTATATAACGTGTGACGCTTGCTCTTCTGACTGTAGGAAGAACAAGGGGTTAGTCAAGCAATTGAGTTCACCATCTCCTGGCTCAAAGGTTTTGCAGTTTCCTACCCGTTTTCCTCAGAATGGTTGGGGGCAGTTCAAAGCGTGCTTCTGGAAACAGAACTTGTCTTATTGGAGAAGTCCTTCATATAATCTGACACGGATCATTTTTATGTCTTGCTCATCTCTGCTGTTTGGAATACTCTTCTGGAATCAAGGAAAGAAAATGTTAGTCAGAAATTTTTTGTTTGCGTTCGTATGAACCACTAAACCGAATTTTTTTTTTTCAAAATGAAAAAGCTTCAGTTATCCACTGCAATAAGTTGAATGGTTTCATTTAAACATTTATGATTCTCACAAATTTGTGTTATCTTCTATTTTACTTCTGAAGACACTCATTATTTTTCTTTTCATATGATGAGAAAGGGTATCTTTAAAATGCTGTTCATATCTAAACTAAATCCTTGCATGTCTATGATAGCTGGAGTGGTAATCTCTTATTTAAAGAAGAGTCATTAACCATATGATTTTTATTTTTATTTTGCAGAGATAGCCAGCAAGACATCTTCAATATATTTGGTTCGATGTTCTGTGCAATAATCTTCTTTGGCATAAACAACTGCTCAACAGTTCTACCATTTGTTGCCACAGAGCGAACTGTTCTATATCGAGAAAAGTTTGCAGGAATGTTCTCTTCATGGGCCTACTCATTTGCGCAGGTTTTGCACTTTTCAACATAAACTTTTGATGAACTCATCAAAAATTTGTGACCATTATCTCATGCATTCAATTTAAGAAATTCCAAACTAGTAGAGTTAATTTTGTAGGTGCTGGTTGAGGTTCCCTACTCATTCATTCAAGCAGTTCTTTACGTGGTCATCACATACCCGATGATTGGTTACGACTGGTCTGCCTATAAGATATTTTGGTCATTCTATGGCATGTTCTGCACACTACTAAGCTTCAATTACCTAGGAATGCTACTGGTTTCCTTGACACCAAATGTTCAGGTGGCGTCGATTGTGGCATCATCTGCCTACACAATGCTGAATTTGTTTTCTGGGTTCGTCATTCCAAGACCAGTAAGTTTATGAATCATCAAGTTTAACCTTCATGCTTCTAAATGGAAAAAATTATTTCTAAGTAGGTGATATGATCCTTTTAGGCACAGCGAAGAAATACTTGAATGCGGAAAACTAACTTGAGCCCGTTCTTTTCTTGATCCAGCAAATCCCAAAGTGGTGGCTCTGGTTGTATTATTTATGTCCTACATCATGGGCACTAAATGGAATGCTTACAGCGCAGTATGGAGATATACAGAACAAGATCCTGGCGTTCGGGGAGACTAAAACTGTTGCAGCCTTCTTAGAAGATTACTTTGGGTTTCACTACAACCTTTTAGGCCTTGTTGCTGTTGTTCTTATTCTCCTCCCCATTGTGTTTGCTTCTCTTTTTGCATACTTTATTGGAAAATTAAACTTCCAGAGGAGGTAAACGTTCAGAATCTGTATCTGGATTTAATAGATACATGTATGAAGTATGATGTATCTTCTCAAAAAGCTAATTCCTTCAATCTCATCTCATTTGAGTCACCATTACAAAATTTATATTTTACAGTCAAATATAGGACAGGTATGGACAAGGATTGAACGGCTAAGATCTTTTCATGAAAGACATGAACTGCTAAGATTAGAAAACAAGGACAGAACTATAAAGACTGTCAAGGAGGGGGGATCATGTTCATATTTGTTACTGCATATGAAAAATTGAGGAACAGCTCCACCCACCATTTCTACCCTCTTTGTAAATTTAATTTTCCGAATGCAATAGGCAAACAGTGAAGCAAAAGCAATTGGGAAAGCAGTGAGAAAAATAGACACAAGGAATAAACGATCATGATGGAAACCATAGTAATCTTGTAGAAAGGAACCAACTGTTTTAGGCTCCCCAAAAAATCAATCTCTCTTTGCTCATGTCTCCATATTGTGAAGTCAAGAGGCCATTTAGGGACCATGATGTAGAAGATATCCAGAAGCATATGTTTATTTATTAATAGGTAAGAAGTAAAGGAATTTAAGATTTCTTTTTTGAGATGAAGGAATCTAAGATTATTAGAAGAATTTAGACCTAGACATAGACGAGCTATTTCATGAAGGATAACAACATATAAGTGATAGCATATAAAAGTTCTTTGAGCTTTTCTATATGATTTATCAATTTTGGGCCAAATTTAACTTGTCAAACATTAGACATCTTTAAAATTTTCAATAATTTTCTGAAACTTGCAAAAAAGATTCTCATATATGTGAGTTCCAAAAAAAAATTCTGAAAATTCCGAGTTTTTCGAATTGGAATGGATGTTGAATTTTCGAAATTTTTTGAAACAGAATTGAAAATGAATTTTCATTCCAAAATTTGTTGGAATGGAATTGGACTATCCAATCTGATCCGTCCGAAAATCAGCCCTAGCCAGTTCTTTGTTGTTGTTGTTGTTGTTTTTTTTGTTTTTTTTTTTTTTTTTTTTTTTTTTCCTGTTGTTGATATATATACTGTTGGGCCCACTCACTGAAGTCTTGAGGCCAAACCCTTAGTGCTGGGCCCAATATCATCGTGTTCTACATTCTTGGGGTCAAAATCCTTGAAATTACCAAGACTGCAATTTTTAAATCTAACATATCTGGTTGCTTCCATTTTGTCTTGTTAGGGCATGAACACAAGAACATCATCTGGGTCTGTAAATTTCACCTCTTTTAACTTTGAATAGCTTAAAAGAGTAGAATTTATCAGAACCCAGATATGTAAATTAAAAAGATTATGCAAATGTGGAAATTAACCAAGCACAGATGGTTTTAATTACCATCTTGTAGTTGAATTACCAATACAAAATTTGCACCAAGTTTTTTTGTGATACATTTCAACCGTCAACAATCCAAGATAGGACAGGCATATATACAAAAACAGGTTTCTATCTTACTTTTGATGAAATAAAAGTTTAGGGAAGGGAAAGGTTACCCCCACACCCAGGGCCATAGCAAACCTCAGATCTTTTTAGATTTACAGAGGATTATATAGATTGTCCACCAAACATGGAACTGCTGGCAGTGGGACTCGAATACTAGTCGGGCAACACACAATGCAGGGACCTTACCAACTGAACCAACCCGTGTTGGTAAAAACAAGTTTCTTTCTACCTTCTTTGAAAATTTAATTTCCCAATGCAATAGGCAAATAGAGACGCATAAGCAACTGGGAAAGCAATGAGAATAATAGCCACAAGGGCTAAACCATCATGATGGAAACCATAGTAATCTTGTAGGAAGGAACCAACTGTTTTATGCTCCCCAAAAATCAAGATCTCTTTGTTCATGTCTCCATATTGTGAGGTCAGGAGGCCATTTAGGGACCATGATGTAGGACATATCCAATAGCACCAAACCCACCACTTAGGAATTTTCTGCATAAAACATATACAACATAATGGTCAGCTTCCCTGTGCATGTCACTGCAGTTAATTCCAGCATCAGATTAAGAAAGAGTTGAATTCGTTTACCGGTCCCGGCATGAGGAAGCCCGAGAAAAGATTCAATATGGTGTAAACTGCAGTTGCCAATATGGAAGCAACATCCAGGTTTGTGCTCAAAGAAGCAATCAGCATCCCAAGATACACAAAGTACAGAAATGTCCAGAATGTTGCATAAAAGTACCAAAAAACCTTAGTAGCTGACCAATAATACCCTATTGTAGGGTATGTTATAATCACAAACAGAATTGCTTGCAACAATGTGTATGGCATTTCCACGGCCACCTACAACATTAAACATATATAGTTAAGGCTGATCCAGTAGAAATCAAGAGATGTTAAAATTTTCTGTTAATATCGAACCTGCGCAAACGAATAAGCCTTTGATGAGTACATCCCAGCAAATCGTTCCCGGTACAAAACAGTGCGCTCAGTTTCCACATAAGGCAGAACTAAGTTGCAATTGGTTACGCCCAAGAATATTACGGCAATGTACATGGACCCAAGTATGTTCAACAAATCCTGCTCATTATTTCTTCAGGAAAATGGAAAAAATAGGATTTAGAAGTTAGCAAAGTTCTTGTGCTTTTGATTTTTATTATGAAAGACCTAATTCCTTTAATGAGTAACAGATGTAAATATAGAAAGATTTACATGAATGGTTTTCTTTCCTTTTTTCTTTTCTGAAATATATGAATGGTTACTTCTGGGTATAAATATGAAGGGAGAAAATGGGGCTTACATTTCCTTCCCTTTCTGCCAAAAGATTATCCCAAACAACACTGATGCACCAATCATAAACATGAAACGTGCTAGATTGTATTCAGGACTTCTCCAGTAGGACAAGTGTTGTTTCCAAAGGCATGCCTTAAACTGCACCCAGCTATTTTGAGGAAAATGAGTGGGAAAATACAAGTCCTTTGAAGCCGGCTTTGGCACAATTAACTGTCTTACCAGCTCAATTGTGTCCCTGCAAAAGACAAAATAATGTTATGATTGATTTAACACCTGAAGTAAGAAACCTGATGATCATGTTTAACTTGCTCAACCGATGGACTAGTTTACTTTCAACATTCATAATCCACAAAGAAATTAATCCCATGGGATGCCTTCTGATAAAGTATGCATTTCAAGTAATGGTAATAACATACACACCCACCTATACTGAGTAGACTCTCTATAAATGCTGGCAAAATCTAAACCAAGTTCTTCCTCTACCGAAGCAGAAGTAACTTCTAACATCCATGCTGCTGGATTGTAAGTATCTTTGATTTTTGGTACACCATGTATGCCCTGTTGGATGC